TCTGGGCTTAGCCACGTGGTATGCTTTGGGCAATGGGGCATTAGTGTCAAGAGTTGGAATAATAACACTTAGTATAAGGTACAGGAAAGAATGATAGCATCTGGTAGCCAAATCACATGTTGGGAAGCAAATTAAGATGAAGTTGGTCTTCTGCACAGGCCAGTGCTGCCAAAGCAGAGATAGTAACAGGATACAAATGCTGATCACTGGTGCTTACACCACTGGAAATTCTTAGTGGGTAGTACTAGAGTGACCTTCTCAGGTTGAATTCACACAGATGTCTATTTATACCCCTTTTTGTTCCATCCTTACCCCCTGCAGGTGACCCACCTGCCATCATGTGCCTGGCCTGACACCTTATTGTCCACACCAAAGGTGCTGCTTCTAAATTTGTTTCTTCCTTCTAGAATCTTCCAACTCAGCACATCTTCAAAAATGGATCTTGCTGACTCTGAGTATATCAAATTCAAAAATGATTTTAGATTTTCTTGCAGTATGCTTTCTTCCAATCAAAGCAATTTTTTATGATTCTTTTATTGTTGCTAAAGAAGAAAAACTTCAAGAATTGAAGGAAAGCCCATTCCTTTTGTTATGGGCAGCAGGATTCCCATAGTCCCTTCGGAAATGAAATTCATCAGAACCAGAGAGATTGTTCAGATAATCTTGATGGGCACATTTTCCATTTCAATTAATAGACTTAATTTCAGGTCATAGATTCCTGACTTATTTCTGTGTGTTTGCTGGAGGATGTTGGGTCAGGGGGTGAAGATTTATGTAGCACATCACTTGTATTCTTCTAGTATCAGCATCAGAATTCACTAAAGCATGTTCAATAGGTAAAGCAATGTGGGGGTTTTTTTGCCTCATTATAAAAAGTCTCAAACACCCTTACTAAAAACTTTTTGCTAGTTCAGGGACCCTAATTCTTGCCTTTGTTCAAAGAACAGAATGATACTTCATTGTATAAAGAAAATTTTAGTTTGGCGCTGTCTACTGGAAAAGAAACAAGTTGTTAACTTTTATAATATTTTTGATGAAAAGATAACGTGATGAAAAAGAAAATTTTAACACTATTTTAAGGTTTTCCCAAAAATGCGAACAAAACAAAGTGAACCAAAAAATCTTTAACAAAGACAAATATACTAGAAATATCTAGAATCACAAAAAATATATTTGATTATGTTTGTGACATATTTGGATGGAAAACAGAGGCACAACATGGTCCAAGGTCAGACTCTGCTGAGACAGAGAACAGCAGTAACCATGAGTGGGGAATCCCACTTGGTTCAGCAGTGATTTGGAACAGAGTTAGCCTGTCACTATTCCCACCACTCTAGCTCAGTCCCCTGCCCCGTACTCAATGGTACTTCATGACCAAGAAACACAAAGAGCAGTTCCTTTATTCTTTTCAATCCAAGATACAGTATCGCCTTGTTTTTGTTTTCCAAGTCATATTTGTATTTATTGTGTCATTGCATTTGATACGAGTTTTTGACTTGAAAGTCTTGGAGTTTCCCTAGGATTTATGAAGCATTTCCCTGAGATAGTTGGGCTGCAAGTGTTTGAAATGTTAGCTCTGTTTTCCTATTTTACAAAAGAATGGTTTCATCATGTCTGAAATGGATTCATTTCTATTCATTGATTTTGGGAACTGAATTTTGGGAACTAATTATTTTCTGAGTATTTACTATATGCCAGAAAGTTTGAAAGTACTTTGCATTTTTTGTTTACTTTTCACAACTCTTATGAGTTTGTTACAATTTTTATCATTTTCCTGATGAGGCATGGGCTAATGAAGCAATGTGTGCAGGTCATCCTGCTAGAGTTAATGGGATTAGGACAAGCTCACCTGGCTCCAGAGTATCACTGCAAACAACCATGCTGATTCTCATGTCCATCCTTTTCCTGAGCATCTGTTTCTTGCTCAAACCATTAGGGAAAACTTCTCCTGTAGAGTAGATACTTCAAGCAATGTACCCATAGGTTCATCCTTGTGGAGAGAAGGTTCCAGAGTACGAGACTCTCTTCTGCTCTCTCAAAATGACTTTGAACTATATTCAAAGCCCAAAAATTTCTGCCACTTCTATCACTCTCACCCTAGTCTGAGCCATAATGATCTGTCAGGAGGGATGCAGTAGGCCCCAAGACTTCCTGTTTATATTGTGTTAATACAGCTAGATACATCACCAACATTCCAGTGACTTCCTTGCTTAGTCAGAACAAAAGATTAAGTAAGTCCATGAGCTTGTGCCCTCTCGGTGTCCTCTGCTGTAGTCTCCTTACTGACCTGTCACTGCTTCAAATTCTAAGCTCACTTCACAATGACCACTCGTTGTTACTAGGTATGATCTCTGTCATAAGGCGCTTTGTACCTCCAGAGATTTGGATTCCTGGTCCCTGTGTTTTGGGCTTTCTTTCCTCAATGTTGACTTGGTCCCTCCCTGGTAGAATATTTCACAATAATTAATCCACGCTCCTTGTATTAATTTGTTTCCTTCATATTTATCATGACTGAGTATGAGCATTTTATTTTCGTCTGCTCTCTTTCCTTTTGTATTTGAAGAACAGAGAACCCAGTGAGTGTTTAATAAATTGACTAAACGAATAAATGAATGTATTATGGAGTTGTTTTGAAGGATTAAGCAAACTAACATATGGAAAGCATTTAGAACAAACAATGCTTGGTACTACATTATAAGAGTCATCAGATGAATGCTGTGTTAAAACTTTAAATATTATTCCTTTATTTAGTTAAAAGGAGATAATCAAGCCACACATATTTTAAATATTCTAATTTACATTGTCAATGGTTACTACAAGAAATATGTGATGGACTAGAGAGATGGCCCAGCAGTTAAGAGCACTGACTGCTCTTACAAAAGATCTGGATTTGAATCCCAGCACCTACATGGCAGCATCCATACCACCAGTTCTAGGGGATCCAACACCATTTTCTGTCCTCCGCAGGCTCTGCACAACATGGGTGCACTTACACACATGCAGGCATAACACTCATACACAGAAAATAGAAATAAATAAATAAATCACTTCTGTCCTCTTTTCCTGCTGTCTAGAGCATACTCTTTCCAATGCTCTGTTGTTTTCCTGACATCACCTTCGCAAATATCATGTGAATGAGATCAGATCACTTCTATCATAATAGGGTCTTTAAGGGTGAAACTGGAGAACAGACAAGCCTTAGCACAGTTCACATAACACATTAGTTCTGTTTCTCTGAGTGTTCCAAATCACAAGCAGTTAGTTACAACAAATTCCTTTCAGTTTACAGGGGATTTTAAAATCTCTTTTTCCTAAGCAGTGACATATGCCTAATGGACAGATCGTAGAGGATTTCTGTTGATCTTACTTAACTCTTTTTAGTTGTGCAGAGGAGTTGCAGGATTCCTTTTTCCCTGGGTTTCTTTATTACATTTGGACAGCATGTTGTCCAGATGGCATATACAGTAGCATCATCCCAGGCATTTTAAAAGGATATTCTTTTACTTATTAAAGAAAATTAAAGAGAAAAAATTGAATTAAGCCCATGTCAGGAATTTAAATCTTCTGAGCTAACATCACTTGAAAGAGATTTCCAGTGTTCATCAATAACTCTTCCTCAAAAGAAGACTGCCTGGGCCAAGAGGCATGAATGAAGATTTCATTATGAGTTGTGGGAGTTGATCTTCGGATAGTTTGGCCTCTCAGCAGCAGGCCCTGAGTAATGATACGCCATCATTTTGATCTCCGTTTTCCTCTTTGGACAAATGTGATAACAATGTCTGCTCAGCTCCCTCGGTCTGTGTGATTATTTTGTGAGTCAAGGGATTTGTTGAAAATTTCTTTTTAATTGCTTGCAAGTTTCACACAGTTTATATTGTGTATTTTCATCATTTCAGCCTTCATCTTTCTCATGCCTCGTCCTCTCCTGCTAGAACCCTTCTCAACAAGTCCCCCCTGCTACTCTGGTGTCCTCTTTTTATGCTTTACTGAGTTTAATTAGTTTTTCTGCCCAAGAGTGGGTGGGAGGTTGTAACAGGAGCAAAGGCAACTTATCAGTGACTATACCACCGAAGACAGTGGCATCCCCTGAATTCTGTACAATATTTAATTTGTAATTATTGATAAGACCTTAGAAATGAGACATCAAGGCAGATTCACTTAAGTCATTGAAAACTTTTTCCTGAAAGTAAATACCAAGAGCTAAGGTCTTGTCTTTCATGGAAAGAGGAATGTATTTAACACCAGGATGACACATCACCACTAAAATAATCCATATTCTTTTAATTTTGCTAGCCTCAGATATTTTTTTCCATTCTGAGACTATTTCTCAGAGTACTGGTTAAAACTTAATAGTGTTCTACAAAGCAATGAGTTTTCCCCTGCTTATTAATTCAATTATTTGTTGACAACCTACTTTGTGTGAGATGCACTTATTGGTACCTGAGATAAATCAATGACTCTAATTCACTATTATAAGGAGTGAGATTGACTAAGGTGCAGTATACCAGTGGAACAGTTACCTAGCATGCATGGGGCTCTGCCTCCACCTTTAGCACTACGTACATACAACTAAGTTCTTTCTCTCTATGGATTATACATTCTAGTGTGGAGAGTGAAATAGTAAAAATAGTCATAAAAGTATGTATGTTCTTACTTACATTAAGTAGGGAACCAGAGAAACTCTTTAAAATATTATGCAAAGGTAGTACTTCGTAAGAATGCGATACATAAGCAGAGGTTTGACAGAGGCAAGGGTGAGACATGCAGGTACATGCAAGAGTGAGACAAGCATTTCACATTTAAAAGAGCCAGGGTAAGGCCTAATACAGACAATAGCCCAAGAGTTTTCAAGGAACGACACAGACCATGAAAGATGATTATAAGTCTTTAGATCCTTTCCCTTATCTACCAGAGAGACTGAGTTTCAAACTAGAGAGCAAGTGATCGCAAGTCAGTGCGTAATCCAGTCAGTAACTCTCTTGTCTGTGCTTTTTCTGCAGTCACATGACACAGGCAATCCCATTTGATGACCCTCGGTTTGAAAACTGCCAAATCATCCCTCCAGCACCCCGGAAGGTTGAGATGAGGCGAGATCCTGTGCTGGGCTTTGGATTCGTGGCAGGGAGTGAAAAGCCAGTGGTCGTACGCTCAGTAACACCTGGTAAGTATCCAATCTCATTCCTTGCTCTACCTGCCACACCTGAGCAGAGTGACTGTTGCTCAGTTTGGGAGTATCCAGGCTGTGAAAGCTAGGTCATCTTTTTCAGTACATAGATAGGGTGCCAAAAAAAGAAATGCCTCATTAAAATGGGTTCCTTATTTATTTATTTATTTATTTATTTTATTTATTTATTTATTTATTTGGTTTTGGTGACAGAGTGTTGCTATGTAGCACTGGATATCTTGGGATTCCCTATGTAACCCAGGCTTGCCTAAAACTTGTGGCAGTCTTTTTGCCTCAGATTGCCAAATTCTGGGATTGTAGGCATGTTTCACCATGTCCAATGTCAAAATTGGTTTGAAATTGCCAAACATTTCATATCAGTAGGGTCATGGAAAATGCTGATGTATCATTTGTAATCATGGTATCACTTTTAAACATATAAATGCACATAATGACAAGCATGCACTGTAGTGCATGTAAGTATTTCATGGGTGGAACAAATAGAGGGTGACGTGCAAGATATATTGCGATTTAGTCATTGGAGTAATTGATTTATTTTACAAACATACACCCTTTCCTTCTCACTAGAGGCAGACTATTTCCCTGCCCAATTGCCATTGGCATGAACCAGATAACTGACTTTGGCCAATGGCATATGAGCAAATAGGATAAAAACAAACGATTAGTATGCACTAGTATAGCTGAACGTATTTTTCAGGCTTCTGTTATGACCACAAGAAGGGATGTTTTCTGCAAGGGGCCACTACTTCTTTAGCTTCAGCTCCCAAAATAAACTCCTGGGGCAGTACTCAACCAGTTTGTAGCCTGAAGCTAAGTACAACCCAATTTGTACTTTGAAGCAAGACTACTCACCTGAACCTGACCTCAGTCATCCTAAACCACCGCAAATGTGAGAAATGATTGCCGGAATGGTTTGTTACAGAACAGATGCTAACTGATACATATGGAATCTCTTAAATTGTACAATATCAAAATTGACTTTATCTCAATTGTTCATATGAAGGCATACAGATGTCCCACAGTTGAATACAATAGCCTGTGATATAATTGCCTCAAATACGCTGACTGCTTTTCCAGAAACAATATCCTTTTGATTGTTTTATATGCAGTAATACCCTTATTGTAATGGACTTAGACTTGTTTTCAGACAAAAGACAATTCTCTTCTATGTCATTGATCTGAGAATTTTGCAGAGCAGTAGCAGAATTCATTACTAAAGCCCTGTATGAAAAATATAGATGCCAGGGCCTGAGGAGGCAACTCAGTGGGTAAAGCACCTGCTGCGCTTCATGAACTTGAGAATCTGAGTTTGGATCTCCAGCACCCATAGAAAAGTACCATGTAAGTTCCAATCATGGTGGCATATATCTGTAACCTTCAAAGTAGGAAAAAGAAGGAGCAGCTGCATCCCAATGGCTCACTGGCTAACCAATAGAGTTCTGGAGTCAGTGAATGACCCTATTTCAGAAATTATGTTGGAGAGTGATGGAAGAAGACACTTGACATTAATCTCTGACCTCCACATGTGCAAGCACATATTCACCCAAAAATTCAAACAGATGCACATGCACACATGCACACAAATGCATGTAGACAAACAACACATCTGTACACACACACACCATACACATACAAAAAATTAAAATTTTTGCTTAGAAAAGAACAGATTCTGCAACAGACTGCCCAAGATTGAGTCCTGCCTCGGCCCCTTTTAAGGATTTCTCATTTCCGTGTTCAGCCCCTTCCTCTCAGTTGGATGTAGCTTCATATAGTGAGGATCTTCACAGCATCTAACTTATAAGGCTACGGAGAGGTACATATTTATCCTTCCATAACTGTTCTTTATGATTATTATTATTATTATTATTGATCTCTCAAATGGTTGACCATTTAGCCAGTTGTTGAAAGGAAACAGAAGTTGACTAGTGAGGTGATTTAGATGTTTTAGGTTGATTAGATTTTTTGTTTTCCATTATTTTGACATAACATGCCTGAGGCAAGCACTAAAATACAATTGACCACTTGGAAGTTGGAATGAGAAGAGTGTGGTTTTCATTCCAACCACCGTCCGGCCACACCTGCTTTCTCTACTGAGCTTTCTATTCAATAAATGTGAATTGCATTTAAGTGTGATTGTTGATCTTGATCCATTTGAGAATTGTACTTTCAAAATAAGTTTCTTTTTATTATACAAAAATAATTCATGTTTTATAATATATACACATAATATCCATGATATCATAGTATAGAGAAGAAAGTTAAAAAGATTCTTGAACTCCTACTACTGAAGACATAATTCTGTTCAGACACACAAGCACATACTGTAAGCATTATAATCCTTCTAACTCTTCCCTTCTGTGCCTTGAACCCTCCTGAGTTTTAAAAACTCTAACACCCACAGTCAGATTTTTTGAGAAAAGTAGAGAAGAAGTGAAAACAGGGGTCAAGAGTACTATTTACAGTTATTTTTGTGAGTGAAAATGTTCAAATAAAATGTCTATCATAGAAATGACTCTACTCAAGTCCCAAGGGAGTTCAGTGACAGGACCAGATTTTCTATAGGACACAATTCGGTCTTCAGAGTAAAACGCATGAAACAATTGTCTAAAGGGTTTCACTATTTCATATATTGTAAGGGTTCGTTTTTTGCTTCTTCCAGAATTCTTGATTCAAGTTGCTTTATTAAACAAGAACATCCCCATTTGATCCAAAAGTATAAGTCAGCCAAATGAATTAACTCCTGCCAATAATACCAGAACTCAGGGGGCTTGGTGTAGGGTGTTAACTGTAAGTCCAAAGCCAGCCTGGTCTACATAGTGAGTTTCAGGCCAGCTTAGGCTACATAGAAAACCCTATCTCATAAAACAAACAAACAAACAAACAAAAAACAAACAAACAAAACCTGTAGGTCAACCAACCGTATGGATCTGACAGTGGTATGCTCATCAGAAGCATTCATATCCATCCTTCAAACAAGTTAACTGAATTTTTTCTGTATTTCACCAGCATTTGATTTCTAACCATTTGCTCAGCTAAATAGGTTTGAGTACACATAATCTGGCATTTAGAATAAATTTCTCAAGTGATCTTTCTGAATTTCTTATGTGCAATTACTGATGAAAAAAAGCCACTGATGATCAGTTCTCAGATATATGAAATTCATATTTTCTATCACTGATATGAGTACTTCTTAAGACAAATTGGTGATGCAGAGTGACTATATATGTGCCCAGTGTCTGGTTGGATGGAGAATAGCTCAATGATTTTCAAATCCTTTTCCTGGTCATAAAATGCCCATTTCAATTACTAAACAAATTAATTGGAGCTCATTTAACAGTAGCATTTTAACTGTACCTCTCACCCGGTCCCAGGTCTCTGCAAATACAGTGAAAGTTATAGTACCATATAATACTATGTCTGTGTTTTGGAGGAAACTGCAGTCATCTTTGCAGGAGAATAATCAAAATAGTTGAATAATCCAAATGATTACTTGGTGTTTTATTTAAAATATATGTGTGTTTTACATAGATGTGTCAAAAGAACTGGTAGTAATCAATTCTTGCATTATGAGAGAAAAATTCAAAAAAGAAATCAGCCATTTTGTACTTGGATTCGCTCACAGACCTGAGATTTAGTTCTACCTTCATGCCCATTCTTTTACCTGTGAGCACAATTCTTTCAATTTGTAGAAAGAATTGCAGTAGTATATAGTGAAGTTTCCAAGCAAAGGATTGAGTTCATAGCCCAAGGCATAAGAACTACCCAAGAACCTACTTGGTTTCTACTCCATCCTTAGAAATCCAAGTGAAAGAACAAAACAGACTCTGCCATTCAGGACCGGCAGACCATCACAGCTAGACCTCGCTGTTGTGAGGTCATGAAAAATTTCACAAAATATCAACAGCAGACCAGACCACCAAGAGTAACAGATCAAGACAATAGGCTCCTCTGACATCAGAACACGGGCACAAGCTTCCCAGAACATGCTAAGTCACAAATTTAACCAGCTATACTTCTCTACTAGGTGACATATTGGAATACTACTTTTGTGAGGTTTTTAAAAAATAACAGCCAGTTCTGCTTCCTTCATTTAAACTTTTAGACAATCGTTAAGATGCTTATTTCCATCAAATCTACACAAGACTCTTACTTCATTTAACCTATCCCAATACCACCTAACACAAGATCAAGTTTTATAAGTTTTTTCTTTTTGTTTTTGTTGTTGTTGCTGTTTTTGTTGTTGTTGTTACTGTTGTTGTCTTCAGACAGGGTCTCCCTATATCCCCAGCTTACCTGGAACTCACTATGTAGACCAGGCACGCCTCAATCTCATAAGAGATCCACTGCCTTTGCCTCCTGGGTGCTGGGAGTAAACTGTATGCCACCACACTGAACTATAGCAAGTCTTTTCTAACATAATTGAAATGAGCTAATAGCCTTGGTTGTTGTAGCTTTGGTAATCAACACAACTGACTGGCTACTTATTGGTAGAATATCTTCTTCTAGAGGTTTTGATATTCAGAGCATGTTTTGTTGATCATTATCAGAAGTAGCCCCTGGGAGCTTGAGAAGCATATATTATCTTGCCCTGCAACTCACAACAACAGGATCTGCAAATGATTCTAAGCTATGTTGAAATGTGGGCATCTCTGCTAGCTTGGTATCAGTCTTGTTCATGAAGTTTTTGAAGAATGTGGATGACTGAGTTCCACACCCAGAGATTCTGACTTAATTGAGAAGGATGCAGCCTGGACCACAGATACGCCCAAAGAACAGCCTAGTGTAGTTGGGTTTTGCTTTTGCTGAAACTATCATTTGCTGATAAGTCATGATGTGGAGAGAAGATTTCAGGTGGGTACCAAGGGACTCCTCACATGCATGCTTCCTCTTGTCTGTCTTCAGGTGGCCCGTCAGAAGGCAAGCTGATCCCAGGAGACCAGATTGTAATGATCAATGATGAAGCTGTCAGTGCTGCACCCAGAGAACGGGTCATTGACCTGGTCAGGTAGGTAACATACACATTCAACTTTGCCATCTTGTGGCCTTTCAAAAATGTTGATTCATAGTTATGGGGCCATATCTAACAGAGAAAGAATATCCTGTGAGTCAATGCATGGCAGAAACATAAGCATACACATTTATTTTGTAGAAAATGTCAGCGATGCTAACTTCTAATTTAAAAAATATAACTTCACATTTTAATGACTTCTATTTCCATTGCTGTAGCTAAAGGTTGCATATCTTTTCCTTCCAGAATCACTAGCGCAT